AGAGGCCAAACCCACAGGTTCCAAATTTCTGGTCGAGGGTGAAATATTGTGCCCCCGGCCTGAGACAGAAGGTCTCTCCTGATCGGGATCTCCAAGGGAGGACCGTCTAAGAGATGGATCAGGTCCGCAAAACCAGATCCGACTCGGCCAGCGTGGTGCTACTAGCAGTAGGCTTATTCCGTACTGGCGGACTCGTTCCAGAACTCCTGGGAGCAGAGCAACAGGGGGAAATGCGTACAGACGTAGCCTCGGCCACGTCTGCACCATAGCATCCAGCCCCAGGGGGGCTGGGTGAGTAAGGGAGAACCAAAGTGGACAGTGCGTCGTATGCTGAGACGCAAACAGATCCACCTCTGCTTGGCCGTAAAACTCCCAAATTTTCTCCACCGCCTCGGGGTGGAGTCTCCAGTCCCCTGGCCTCAGCTCCTGCCTCGACAGGATGTCTGCCCCAATATTCTGGTCCCCAGGAATATACACTGCCCTCAGGGAGAGTACCTTCCCCAGAGACCACAGGAGGATCTGGTGCGCCAGCTTGCAAAGCGGACGCGACCGCAGACCCCCCTGACGGTTCAGATAAGAGACCACCGATGTGTTGTCTGTACGGACGAGCACATGATGGCCCCTCAGGTCTGGGAGGAATTGCTTCAACGCATTGAAGACGGCCATCATCTCCAGGCAATTTATGTGCCAAGAAAGATGATGACTCCTCCACCGACCCTGAACCGAGCGGCCTTCCATTACCGCTCCCCAGCCGGTGAGGGAAGCATCTGTCGAGATCGTAACTCGATGGCAGAGAGCTCCCAACACCGGACCCTGGGTTAAGAACCAGTGTTTTCTCCATATAACCAAGGCACGAAGGCATCGCCGCGTGTTCTTGATCATACGAAGTGGGTTTCCCCTCGGGGAGAACCCTCTGGTCCTGAGCCACCACTGCAAAGGTCTCATGTACAGCAGGCCAAAAGGAATCACGTTGGACGCTGCCGCCAAAAGACCCAACAGTCTCTCGAACTGTTTTACAGTGCGTGACTGGCCTAGCTTTAGCTCTTTGGTGGCTGTCAGGATAGCAGCTACACGAACGGGCGATAGAGTGGCCCGCATCGTCACTGAATCCCATACCACACCAAGGAAAGTGGTTCTCTGTACTGGAGAAAGCACACTTTTCTTGGCATTGAGCCTCAACCCCAACATCTGCATATGAGCGAGAACGACACCTCGGTGCCGAACCGCCAACTGCTCTGATTCCGCTAGAATCAGCCAGTCGTCGATGTAGTTCAGAATACGTATGCCCTGAAGCCTGAGAGGGGCTAGAGCTGCATCCACGCATTTCGTGAACGTGCGGGGTGATAAAGCTAGACCGAAAGGAAGAACCCGATATTGGTATTCTTTGCCCCCGAAAGAAAACCTTAGGAACTTCCTGTGCTGAGGGAGGATGGAGACATGGAAGTAAGCGTCCTTCAGATCTATCGTGACAAACCAGTCCTCGGATCTGATTTGAGTCACGATCTGCTTGAGTGTCAGCATCTTGAACTTGAGTTTCTGTACTGAACGATTTAACAGACGAAGATCTAAAATGGGACGCAACCCTCCATCCTTTTTTGGAACAATGAAATAACGGCTGTAAAAACCCGACTCTCTGTCGGGTGAGTACACCTGTTCTATAGCTTCCTTTGCTAACAGGGCCTTTACCTCTTGCTCCATTACCAGAGCCTGCTCGGGATGCACCACTGTGGGCAGCACCCCGTTGTAACGAGGAGGACGAGAACCAAACTGGATTCTGTAACCTTTCTCTACAATCTGCAGGACCCAACGAGAAATATTCGGCAGAAGCTTCCACGCTGCCAGAAAATGTACTAAGGGAACCAGCCTCTCGAGGCTGGTCTCTGGTGTTATCGAGACGGCTAATTCCGGAGCCTGAAACATAATGGCAGGAACTACCTGAACTGGCCGCTCTAAGGCCCCCCTCAGAGGGCGCGAAACCGATGCTGTGCCGCAGCATAGCATCAGCGACTCGCTGGAGACCGCTGCGCCCTGAAGCACCGAGGGTGGCAGGGTTGGCAGAACGGTCTCGTGAGGACCCTGAAATGGAACGGGCACCGTATAATGAGGTGTACACCGCTCCACTTCGGTCGGGGCTGTCCTCACAGGCCTGATGCATGAACATCAGGACCCTTTTTTTTTTTTTTTTTTTTACCGAAGTCTTCTTCGCCTGAAGAACGGTCCTCAGATCCGGCTTCGACTTAGAAGACTTCGGTTGAGAGGGTTGCGTCCGTCTCCAGTCTCTACGTGGAGGTGCACGAGACGCAACACTCTCTTTCTGATGCACACGATATGATGAGCTCGACGGCTGGGGCTGCTCACGCCCAGCAGCCCCAGGGGGCTGGACCCGGCGAGGGATAAACTTTTTAAAAACGTCAGCTTGTTTCTTTGACTCCTGAAATCTCTCGACGACCGCGTGGACTGCGTCGCCGAAGAGACCAGAAGGTTCAAGCGGAGCATCTAATAAAAAAGCTCGATCTTTTTCTTTAATTTCAGACAGATTTAACCATAAATGTCTCTCAGTAGCTACCAAGGCTGCCATAGACCGCCCAATTGCTCTGGCGGTCTCCTTAGTAGCCCTGAGAGAAAGATCGGTAGCCCGACGAAGTTCACGAATATCGTCATGACTGACTCCCTCACTACTATCCAGATCCCCCAGCAGGTCAGCTTGATAAGCCTGGAGCACTGCCATAGTATGCAGACATGCTCCAGCTTGACCTGCTGCCGTATAAGCTTTGCCCACTAACACCGAAGTGGCTTTGAGCGGTCTAGTGGGCAAAGCCGAGGCTTTCAGAGACGATGCGGGACCAGGGGAAAGATAACTGGCTAAATTCTCTTCCGCCTGGGGCATCGCCTCATAACCATACTCTTTCAGCCCTCTTATTCTCGAATAAGTGTTAACTTGAGGGCTGAAAAGACGTGATGAGTAAGGTTTATTCCACGATTTAGATATTTCATTGTGCAAATCGGGAAAAAATGGAAGCCCTCGTGGTGGAGATAATGTGGTGGAAGATAAAAAGCGCTCATCTAATTTGCTTTTAGGACGAGCGCCCTTCTTCTCAGATGGCCATTCAATATTTAATTTCTCTACAGCCCGCGACATAACATCCACCAGCTCATCATATGCTGGGGAAATAAATTGTGAATCTCTTTCCCCCATGTGTGTGCTTTCACTCTCCAAACTCATCGCATCAACCTCCTCGGAGGAAGAGCAATAAAGTAATGGAGGGCTCTCTCCCCGGGCGGAAGAAACCGCAGAGCGTGCTTCCGACACCGGGGGGAGAGCATTGGATCTCTCGGGTAAGGAAGGAGAAAGAGCCCTCGGACCCGTCTCCAACCCCTCCGAAAGTTCCTTTTGCGATCCCCAGGAATGCAATCTCCGCGCTGCCTCAGCAGACGCGGGTCCTGATCCCTGCGGATCGCGAGCCTGCCCACTCTCTTTATCAAAGAGTGACAGGCGAGAGCGGAGCATGCGAAGCGGTAACATCTCACAATGCTGGCACTCAGCCCCCTCGAAGGCTGAGACCGCATGCTCCACTCCCAAACAAACGACACAAAGCTCGTGTGTGTCCCCACCCGTTAAATAACGCGGGCAGGGAGAAGCACACTGTTTGTACACTTGTTTAGTTTCCATCCTTTTCCGCAACAGACAACAGTAAATAGACAGAGACAAAATGACACAGATCGCTTGCTGAGACACAGAAGCTAATGCCGCGTTTCACCGGGTGAGCCTTTATCCCTTCCTGGTCATGACGTCACCCGCCCGTGACGCTCATTCTTTCCATTGGACTAGTTGACATTGATGCTCAGACGCATGCACGCTGGGGGCGTTCCCAAAGCGTCAAGTGACGCATCGAGAGTTCCCTCGAAAGGGAACCCATGTACCTTACATTATCAAAAAAAAAAAAAAAAATGCGTTTATAGTTTTTACCCATATAGTTATAGTTAAAAACCCAGTTTTTAAGCCGTTCCATCTCTATGACTGATAGATCTGGGAAACCCTCCATAGGAACACACTTACCCTGCTCTTAAAATAGACGTCATTAAGGGCAAAGTGATTAAATCAGTGAGAGGTTCACACTGCTGGATTCTTCTGGCCAGGGTCAGTGCCACAGTTATTTTAAGGACGATGCAATTAGAGCAGTGTTAATTTACAAAGGAAATTCTTCTTCTATTTAAACACCAGAGTCGTCCATCAACATCGGGTGTATAATTACAATGTCTAAGTACTCAGTTTCTGCAGTCATTTGAATACAATAAGTATCATGCAGGGGCCGCTATTAATGTGCCACTCAAACCCTGACACCGGCGCAGCACTAATGCAAGTTGCCCCGTCAAACCTGTAAGTAATGGGACGGGGTAAAGCGATCTACTGTAACATGAAGACCACTTGTGGCATATATACACACTACTTCAAAGATTTCAAGTGGATGTCAGCTATTGATGGAGGCTGGATCAGAAGACAATACGTGTGCTTGAAGAAGAATAGAGACGCTGCTGGACCTCAAAGGCTGCTTTTTATTTCCAAAGAGACACGGGTTCAGCACAACTTGTCCTACCTCTCCATTCAATTTGGAGAGAATGTCTACTGGAGACATGTCCATTAGGTTTTATTCTTTTCTCTCAGAAATTTGTAATGGGTTTTATTCTCGACTTGATATTCTTTCTACCATGGAACACTAAATAAAGTGTTTTGTCAGAGGGGCTAAAACAACATTGGACCCCATTGACTTTCATTTGTAAAAGAAAAAAAAAACGGCCCTGAGCTTCCAGAGAAGAAAATCAGACAGATTTGGGCTGATATGAGGGTGAGTAAACAGAATTTTAATGATTGAGTAAACTATCCCTTTTTTTTAGTACATGAAACAATTTATGCACTACAATGGCAAACAGAATGGCACAAATAATGACTGTTTCCATACAGGTTTCTCAAACAAATCTATTATTCGGTCAAAAAGTCATTGCATTTATAAACCTGCGCTGTTAACATTGAAAAATCGCACACTTCCCACACAATCTCTATTTCTAAGGGAGAAAAAAAAGATGTTTTACACTGTCTAAACCCAAGGTTGTATTTTATCCCTGAAGATGTTTGGAGACGAGTAGTCTGCTTAAGGCCTCAGCGCTCAGCGATCCTATTAAGAAGTGCCTTGTAAGAGCTTTCCTCCCCTCCTCTCAGGAAATGGCTGCTGTAATGTCTTTCCCTCACTGTTTTGGAATGCTGCTCAGCTCCCATGCTGGGAAAATAAGTGAGAAAGAGAAAAATGATTAAATCATTTTTTCAGGGGGGCCCTCTTAGAACAACATTGGTTACATTGTCAAAGGCCGATTCAGTGCTTGTGTTACAGAGGCTGACTCACTTCCAGGGAGTTTTTTGAGCCTCGCGCCGCATGTGAAGCCAGCTAAAATACGCCTGGGCTCGGGTGCTTCTTACGGAGATTGAGGACTTTTGCCGACTGCGAGTGGCAAATACGCTGAAAGGATAATTTGCAGCACACGACACGGCTGGAGACCGTAAACTTGTTCTCCTAGACTCCCTCGGAGCGCGGAATCTCTTCTTCCACCAGAGAACGGCCCATTCCAGCCTCCGTGGCTGAAAAATGATATCATAATTAGCAATCTGAGTGAAGGCTGATGTGCTATCTAAGTCCCATCTTAGCTTTTGTCGTGATTAAGGGCATGGTACGATGCCTGGGGGCAGTCTCCTCTTGTTTGAATGAGACAGATTGTATTACCGGTCCCGCACCAGACAGACTAGGGCAGGTAGCCCATCAACAAACTGCTTTATGATGGCGAGACAGCGAGCACGCTAGCATTGTCAATGCTGGCAGCTCACTGGGTTTTGAGTGTCACGTCAAAGGCTTTTTCCCCCCCTCATCTTTGAAATGCCGAACAGGAGGCTGTAACACAACTGCACGGCTTGGCCAAAAAGGGAAAACAAACAAAAAAACTTCAGTCTTGATTATCTGCCTCATCTGATCCAATTACCAGAGAGCTTTTACAATAATTCTAGTGTTATTTTGGGGGATGTTTTAAGGCTCTCCGATTTGATGCTTCATTCAGATTAACTGGCGAAAACATCAGACTGAGAATGCCTCGACATGCACAATGCACCGCAAAGTAATAGCAGGTAGACAACTAAATTAAGAATTACATTGGCTCTGTTCCAAAGCCTAAAACAGCAAGCTGTTTTATGTACACCGACTACACAGGCAGCCACACTCTTAAAAACACAGTTTTTTTGGCATTGATGGAACCATGAAGAACCTATAACACCCATGGAATCTTTCCATTGCACAAAAGGGTCTTTATAGTGGGAAAGTGTTCTTTAGATTATTCAAATGTTCTACACATTAAAAATATGTTACTAAAACACTGTTAAAACGTTTTCCTCCAGCGTTTTTTTTTAAGTCGCCAGCCACAGCCAGCATTTTTGATCATTTTCACAAAAGTTTCATGGCCCCCACAATATTTTGTTGTATGAATATCTGAACATGTAATATATATATATATATATATAAAAGAACAGAGGCTCTGCTTTTATTGTTATTATTATTCTAGCTTAATGCATTCTTTTTTTTATCAACACTTGAACGTGGGTAACTTTCATAAAAAAGCAACATATTGAGCAAAAAGTTGAGAAAAATGCATTTTTGTCAAAGACTACATTCAGATTGGGTTCAGAACGATGATCAAACATAGATGGACTAGATTGAGTCCATCAACACCCCCAAAGTTTGTACAATCCTGTACTCGACATTTTATTCGGTAACATTAGGCAGTTTTGATTTCTATGCCATTTATTGTTGATGTTCGCGTAATTTTACATATGCATATAACATGTGCTATCGCTTTTTTTCTGCTTCTTCTTCGCCTGTGTTTTGATCAGGAGATTCAGTACTCTTTCAGAAGATGTGTAATAGCGCCCCCTACATATAACAGTGAAAACACAGAATGCCGTACATTTCCATCAATGGCGGGAAAAGAGTTGATGCTTGATGCCCAAAATGCTTTTTCTAAGGCATCACTGTGAAACCCCCCTTTTGAAACATTTATTTATTCGAGTGTAACTGGAATGGCACCTCATAACCGACTGATTTAGAACACTCTACATAGGCAGCAACTCTGAGCATCACACAATTGATTTTAGTAGTGTTTACTGTTAGCATGTTGCTAAGCTAACACCACAAACTCCAATAAGCAATACATTTCGGTATCAAAATAATTGTATTTACTGTACTGTATAATCAACACTTCCCTTGCTTAGTCTACCATCTTGAATTGATTATTTCATTGACCTAGTTGCAATGCACTGTGGGAATGTGTTCTCTGCAGAGTCAATATTTAGCATTACGCAGACTACATTTTGACCTTAAGCTGCTAAAAGTTAAAAGACTCCAATAATGCTTGAGGAAGTGGGTCTGGGCATGAGTTAAGATGGGCCGCCCTGTCAGTGGGTCACCCACCGTGTGATCTAACTTTGATGCACGCACGTTTGGCAAGCACAACTTCTGCTGTCAAAGCCTATTAAAAGCAGTTTACATGTGCATGTCCGATTTGATGAATATGTATGTGACCTCCTTCTCTGGCGGTTACCCACTCGGCGGCACAGGGGCCCGGGGCTCCTCGTTGAGCTCGGCTTGCATAAAGACGGCGCTTCAACACTGCCATGGAGCGACTCCCCTGTGCCTGGCCTGACCTTTCACTCTGTGGATTTAACTGGGGGATAATGGAGAGAGAAAGGGTTAGCCTTAAGACAGACAAGAGGTGGAGGTACTGATTTAAAATTCAGGTTCTGACACGCCTTAATGAAATAATCCCACCGAGCTTGTCTGTGTGCGTCTGGGGCGTATCTTGTAAAGGAACGTGGTAGATAATAATCTCCTTTGATTTCTACAATTTAAAAAAGGATCCGTTCTGGAAAACCCAGAGGAAATTGTCTTTACTCAAAGGTTGTTCTTGCATTGCTCAGGAGACTTAATTTAGCTCTCAGTTATTTTTCAGTCAAGGCAAGACACTACAGGCATTTTTTTCTTTGTCTTTTTCTTTTTCTTTTCATTTCATGCACTGATCAATTTTGAGATTTTGGGCTATTTTGCTTCCATAACATGTCTTCTTTCAGACTAGTGTGGAAATAAAACACCCAAAATCAGCCTCGGCTCATTAGAAAAACGTACCTGTGGCAGCATTTTTGCAAAGCACAAAATACCTTACGTTGTGCACGTTTCGCGACAGTTTCAAAGTGAAATGTCCAGTGAGTGGCGCTAAAAAAGTGTTGAATTTTCACTGCCATTGTTTTGTCTCAAGATTCACACCAGTAATGTTTTTTTTGTTATTTTAGTTTTTTTAAAGCATGTTTATAAAGCCCCTAATTAAACTCATGTCTAATCCTGGCTAAATCAAAGCCCTGTCTGTGAAACCGGGCATTTATCTACTTTTGTCTGTAGAGTTCAATTACCATACATATCTTTAATGGCGTTTTCTCAAAATGTGTTCTTTCCATCAGTCCGAACTAACATAGACCAAACTTTCCTGTTGTATTCCTATTTATATTCTGAAGGTTTTTACAGACGTTTTTCCCCCCCTGATATATATCAAAATTAAACAATGTTTAAAATGTTCCAATGTTCAGATTTATGTTCCAGAAATGTATGCAAATTAGTGCATATTCAATTAGCTAATGCATCATATGCATATTAAATGTAAGTACAGAAAACTTGAAAACTAATACAAAATAATCAACTTATTAGGGGATTAATCAACTGGGATGGTGTGTCTATTTTTTTTTTTACCCTAGGGTGTCTTGCCTTGTCTTTCACCTAAAATGACTAGATAAAATAAAAATAGAAAGAAATTTGAAAATTGTTGACATGCACTAAGAATATGGAGCTATACAATTGTGTTTGGTGTGGTTCAAAGTCCAAAAGGTTTTGTTTGTTCTTGGAAGAATATGATGAGAAATGAGCAGTTTGGGATTCTTGAGATGGAATTTTGTGGAAAAAAGAAACTAAGGTGACAATTAGCAAAAAAAAAAAAATAGGTTTGGACAAATTCTGATGAGAAATGTTTGAGGTCATATTGAAACCTCTGACTTTTTGTCTTGGTAGATCTGACAAAGGTTTGATATGTTTCTGAAATATCTTCTGAACTTCTGTGGAAAACATTTGACATAACTGGAGAATTTTTCTATATAAGTCTCAAAAGTCTCTATTTGCTCTTCATCTAATTCATAGTTGTCGAAGAGAAACTGATTTGATGTCATATTCGAGAGATCTAAAGTAAGATTCTTGTTGTCTGGGAATGTGTGAGAAGAGATTATTTACAATACAGATTGTTTCAAAGCAGCTTTACAGAGATAACAGGAAAATGCAACAAAGTTTGTTTCCAGAAGAAAATAGCGTCACAGTCCAGCTTAAGTAAGTTCAGTGATGTTTAATTTTGTTGTAAAAAAGTTATTAAGAGGTGAAACAAGCTGTCGTGTGTCAACTTGTGCCTAATTGATTTGACATCTTATTTACCTTATATACTCTTGATTAAATAACTTGTACAATTGTCTCGAGCTATAAAATGAGAATGTCTTCCATTACAGATGGATCGTCATTAGTGACCTCTCTCATACAGCGCATGGGCAGATGTAATTGGAATCCTTAATAATTGTCACCTCTTGAAAAACTAATTAAACAGTGGCCAAGGTCAGACTGGCTTTGGTAATTAACAAGGGAGCAAGCTGAAGGTAATGATCATCAGCACTGCAAGGGCACATAAAGAGTGTGTGTGTGTGTGTGTGTGTGTGCGCGCGCTCGCGTGCGTGTGCATGGCCAGATGAAGAATAGAACATCAACCCTGCTGTAGGCCTGAGAGAGAGTGAGAGAGAGACAGATGGACTGAGACAAACCTGACCAACAAAAGATAGACAGAATGTGCTACTGCACTGAAAATGAACCGCACTTCCTGACCTGCCCTGAACATGCACAAATTAGCTATACTTTCATAAAAAGTACAAGAGTGAAATGCAAACTGTGACCTAAGCAGTCTGCTATAAACACTGATGTGCATGATCCTAACGTGATAACCTGATAAGGGGTCACATGTAAAAGCAATACCTTAAAATCCCCATATTGATAAAATCAATGCAAAACATGGATTATTTCTGTACTCTGTTTATAGCTTCCTAGCAACATATCAACTTAAATACACCACATTAATATATTATGTATGTGTTTATCATTTTATAAGC